CTGTGGTCCTCAACAGCTGCTATCTGCAAAGCTGCACCAGCACCTGTGTCAGGGAGCTGAGCTCCACAGGCCACGGTGTGCTTGCTGAGTCCAAGTAGGGCTTTGAGTCAGACCTAGGATGCTTCGGTGCCCCAGTCCCTGGGAAGAGCCAGCCTCCAAACTTCAGTGAACTCAGGGCCTCCCAGCTTGAGGCTGGATCATGAAGCAGATCTCCTGAGACCCTTGTTCCCCGCACGACTGTTGACAGCTTCTTTCAACCTTGTCCCAAGACCCTGTTTCAGAGCTGGCCCACCTTCCGTTTTCCTTACCCCCCACCACTGTGCAGAGAGCATACGTACGCAGATGGCATTGATATCGGACTCGTGCCCTGAGAAGGTCTGACGGCAGGTGCCCTCCCGCACGTCCCACAGTTTGGCAGTAGCATCGCAAGCCCCAGAGATGAAGAGTTTGAAGTCTGGGGAGACAGCCAAGCTCATACAGTCTCCGGTATGACCCAGGAACACAGTCTTCTGCTGTCCCGTCTCAATGTCCCAGAGCGCGCTGTGGGAGAGGAGAGAAATTCTCAGAGCCAACCCAGGCAGAGCAGATCTACAGCTGGGTTGAGGAGCTGTCCCACTCACAAACAAAGGGAAGGAAGCTACAGGCCTGGCTACAGCACGTGCAAATGAGTGAGAGCATTGCTGGAGTCAGCTGGATACAACAGGAGATACCTTCACAGCTGCTGCTGGTCATACCTTTGCCAATGCAGAGTTAGACTAAGGCTGGGGGGTGCGAAGTTTGGCCACATTCCCATAACTGCACCAGTTGAAGGGAATGCTGAGAGGAGGTAAGAAGGATCTACAGGCAAACAGCTGAAAAAGGTCTGCTGTACCCACGCTCGTAGGGTGCCCAGGCCATGTTCACTGGGATCCTGCGCTATGGACAGGCAAACAAGCCCTGGGTAACCACGATGGAAATGCCACATCCTGACTCAGCCTTGGTCAAGAGGTTTTTCCAAAGCAGGTGTTGGGATGGGGTGGGTGTGAATAACACCTCAGCACTGTTCAGAGCCACAGCACAGCGAGACCTGAGAGCCAGGAACCAAAGTATCCAGGCACTCACTAGCTTTGCAGGTGTCCCTTGCACAGTGGGTAAGACTTGAGAAGTTGGAGCTTGTATGTGAGCTTCACATAAATTTACCATGTTTTGTGTCCTGGGATAGAGGACATTTTGCTTTGTGAGAGCTGATGACATGGTCCCTACCACTTCACCAATAGACCTGCATCTTGACCTGTCCTCAACCAGGAGAAGAAGCACATGTTCTGCCAAGGGAGGAAGAATGGATCTGGCTTCCTAAGGTGCTCTGCATGGCTTCCCTGTGTGGGAGCAACTTGTCCTTAGATAGTGGATTGCTGCAGAGCAAAAGGAATGCGTGTGCTGATGTGAGCTGTGCCTCGAAGAGCCAGAGGCCATGTCACTAGGGTGCGGAAGGTAACACTCACCATGTGGTATCTCCAGAGCTAGTCACAATATTGTTGTCATCAAGAAATCTACAGCAGGAGAGGTAACCTGGAAAGGGGGAACAAGGACATATGAGAAACAGGACAGGGCTAGAAGAGTGAGGTGTGGAAGCGGAGGGCACCCAGGGTGCAGGCAGGCAGCACACGCACCTGTATGGGCTGAGAGCTCCCTGCTCACTTTGACATTGCCTTCACGAGTCTTGAGGTTGTAGATGGAGCACATGTTATCAAGGCCCCCACAGGCCACAAAATTGCCTGAGGGGGCATAGGCACAGGTCATGACCCAGGAAGAACGCAAAGGGATGGCATGAACCTGGGAGGAGACAAGAAACCACGTCGGGACTCTGGCAGCAGAGAGAGCAGGACAAGGGCACCAGCTCCAAGGGGACCCACTCCAGCATCCTGGTTTGCTGCAGCCATCTGAATCCTACCTTGTTAGTTGTGTATGTGTCCCACACAATCAGTTTCCCATCTTGTGAGGCACTGACCAGAAGTCTGTGAGGGAGGAACAAGATCATATTAGTGGCTCTCTTCCCATCAGATCCTTCTTGCCCTTCACACCCACGTGCTGCTCTGCACCCAGCAGATCAGCAGCATCTCTCTCACTTGGAGTCCGTGGACCAGTGCATGGCGTAGATCTTGGCCAGGTGCCCACGCAGGGTCCTTCGGGTCCGCATCTGAATGCGGCCAACAACCTCCACTCCAGACACAATCTGAGGAAAGAGTAGGCAGGGGAGGGGGAGAAAGAATTAATCTTGGACTGGCAGGAGCTTTCCTGCTCCCCATATCTCTAACTCCTAACTCTGCTTCCCAACTGTAGACAGTCCCTGTTGGAGTGGAGCTGACATGCTCACCTGCCTAGCCAGCTCTGTCCCTTACCTGAGCAAGTGTTGTGTCTGCACAGGCTTTCCGGGCATCCTGGAGAAGAGACAAAAGCAGATGAGACAGAAAAAAGCCATGTGATGAAGGCAATGGCACATGAAATTCAGGGGCATACCCAAGAACCTGGGGGCTGCTAGAAGTAGGACCTGTGGCTTTGCTGTGTTTGGACTGTGGCCAGCACAGGGGAGTCCTGGTCTGTAACCAGAGCACCTCAGCACCAGTCAAACATCAGGAAGGTGAGCCAGAAGCTACTCAGCATCCAGTTGCCATGCTATACCCTTTCCATGCATCCTCCCCCCTGGCAGGACACCAGCTGCCTTGCAGACAGAGCGGGTCCTGGGGATGTTCTTTGCTCCCCTGCAGACAGATGCCTGTGGCCAGTTCCTTCTCACTGTTGTAGAATCGCCGCCTTTCTCCCTTCCTCTCCCCCTCTTCCCCCCACCACACTATGAAGATCTCCATTAGCACTTGAAGGGCTGTCCAGAACTGCAGGGGGCTCCAAGGATGTAGATAGAGAAAGCTCAACTCCAAGTTGTAACTAAGGAGGGGAACTTGGGGACTTCCACACAGGATAGACACTCTCGGCAGTTTCCTGACTGTTGCCAGCATTACCGCAATCTGCTTCTTCAGCTGCTCAGCCTCCTGCTTCATCTGTTCCATTTCCCCCATCTTTCTGACCTAGGGGTGGGTCCTCCACGTGGAGCAGCCTTGATTCTGGTGAGACAAATCAAAGGAGAGAGGTGTGAGGTAGAAAGGGCACTAGTATGACTGCCAAGTTATGCAAAACGTAGGCATCTCTGATAAGGGCTTGGCAAGCATTTCTCGGCTGAATGGTTGGTAATATCATGATGTATCTGGTCAAAGCTGTTAGTGTTTGGGAAGATTGTACTGGGCCTGATGAAAGGTCCATTTGGTCTTATATCCTCCTTACTTGTACACTGGGATGCTGAAGACCTCCAGAACTTCTTTCTGAGGTTCTAGCTGCACTTGCCCCCTCAACTTTTTATTTATAACCTCCCCATTCCAGGCCCTGCCAAGTCCTGGGTCCTCTTCATCAGCTTCTCCCCATCCATGGCCAAGCTGTCCATCTCATCTCTAGGATGAGAAAACTTGATGGAGGGAGCCCAGTGGCAAAGCATTACTGGTCAGTGCCCACCAGCTTTTTGACTACCAAAGAAATCTAGGGGCTGTTGAGGTGCTCTGTCAGGGTTCCACTCTAGTTTCCCATCAAAAAAACCACAAAAGGTGGGTAATGATCTAAGAACAGCATAAGCAGACAGTTGTATTTCTCCTACTTTCCTAGCCCCAGCTTTTCATTGACTTCCAAAGCTAGAGGCAGCATTACTCTATGCAAGTTCTTGACGGACTTTACTTCTATGCATTTGTCCATACGCTTTTTGCACCCAATGCTGAAATTTAGCATCCTCCATGGTGAGGACTTCCACAGCTTAGTGTCATGCTTGGCTAAGAAGCTCCTGGTTCTCTTATTCCGAATGCACTAGTTCCACTTGGTCGTACCTAGCTTTTGAGTTGGAAGAATCAGCAAATAACTGGTCTCTACTCACCTCAGCATCAACTGTTTTTTTATAGATCTTTGTCATATCCATCTCTTTTACAGACTGCAGAACACAATTAGTCATTCCTCCCATGTAAGCTGTTACATCCTATTACCTCTGTTGTTCTCTAAGCCCTTTTTGGTTGTTTACAGAGTGTAGACACTACATTTTTGCAGAGAGGGCAGTGAACCAGAACTGTAATCCATATTCAGGATACAGGGGTACCATATGATTATGCAGCACCTCTGTTTTGTTCTCTCTTCCTTGTTATGTGCACTTAAAACTTCAACAGTGATTCTAGCATTTTCCAGTCTTGGAGAAAAATCTGGTCTTTACTGCTTCAATTGTTCTCCTGGGTAGGTGTGAGTGTCCATCTCTGCTCCAGGAGTTCCTCATCATTAGAACCAGCGCTTTGCCCCAAGGCCAAAAAGTGCTCCAGCAGCATCTGCAGAATTTCTCCTGGTCCCTGTGGGTCTCATTTCCTCCATCCTCTTCTGGCCTGTTGCCTGAAAGGCCTTGTTTCTTACAGCCAATGGGGCTTTGGGTCCTCCCAGGCCAGGCTGCTCTCTTGCTGCGGGCAAGCACATGCAGGCAGCTCCCAAATCCCAGCTTTCCTTGCTGCTTCGTCCAGCTCTTTGAGTTTCCCCCCAGAATCTCTCTGCCTTTCCTTTCATAGAATCATAGAATGGTTTGGGTGGGAAGGGACCTTAAAGCTCATCTAGTTCCAACCCCCCTGCCATCAGCAGGGACACCTTCTACTAGACCAGGTTGCTCAAAGCCTCATCCAGCCTGGCCTTGAACACTTCCAGGGAGGGGGCAGCCACAGCTTCTCTGGGCAACCTGTGCCAGTGTCTCACCACCCTCACACCAAAGAATTTCTTCCTCATGTCTCATCTAACTCTCCCCTTTTGCAGTTTAAAACCATCACCCCTCGTCCTGTCACTCCCTGCCCTTGTCCCTCCCCAGCCTTCCTGTAGCCCCTTCAGGTACTGGAAGGCCGCTATAAGATCTCCCCAGAGCCTTCTCTTCTCCAGGCTGAACAGCCCCAACTCTCTCAGCCTGTCCTCATAGGAGAGGTGCTCCAGCCCTTGGATCATCCTCCTGGCCTCCTCTGGACTCGCTCCAGTAGGTCCATGTCCTTTTTATCATCCTCCAGGCAGAGTGAGTTTCTGCTTGGTCAATGACTCCTGAGGCATGAGTTGAGCAGAGGGGAAACAGGGAGACACAGGTGTCCCCCAGCTCCCAGGAGGCATGAGCTTATCCCAGAGGGAGGCTATTTCAGGCCATACTTTGCAGATTAAGACTGGTACGTACTGCATAACTGTGCCTGATTGAGTGACACTGGCCATGAAAACCCACCTGAATGCATTCCTCCTCCTTTGGGAAGGAGCTGGGCAACCCACGCGATCTCTCAACTGTCTGGCAGACTGGTGAGATGCTGGGAAAGGCCTTGCAGCTTTCAGTAGGGGGCTGCACGTCCTCCTTATCTATCTCTTGTGTTTGTCCCTCAGCTTTGATGTGCAGTCAAGCCCCGCAGACTGTGTGCAGCTCTAGTTGCTGCCTCCCAGCACAGCAACTGTCAAACTTAAACCTCCATCTGCTCTGGTGGAGACCAGCCCTACCATTGTTGTCCACACCTTCCCCTTTCTCAGTTTTACCCAGGACTGATCCTCTGTCTCCTCCATCAGCCCTAACTGTTAAATTGCCTTTTCCTGCTGGGCCACCTCTTCCCTCTAACTCTCTCCTTCCAGTCTCATCTGCTTGGTCTCCAAGCTTTCCAGCCTGTCATTTCACACACCTTTGGCCATCTGAGATCAGTGTCCATCCACTTGCCCTAATCTGTCTTTGTGGACTTCTGGTTTTGCCCAGCCAGACCTGCATGGAGATGGGAGCAATCCTCCTTCCAATTCCTGCTCCAGGTGAAGCTGGCTGCACACGTCCTCCTCATCACCCATCGGATCCCCAGTCTTCCTTGCATCTCTCATGCTTTTGTACTATTCCCTTCCCTTCCCTGGGTGTTTCTTCCTCAACGCTGGCACTAGCACGGGAGAGCTGGTTCACAGGCGCCTGCTCTGTGAAGTTGCACAAGCAGATGAGGGTCTCTCAGAGCTGGCAGGCAGGTCAAAGGGCAGGAGCATGATGTCAAGAATGGATAAAAAGAGCTAAATACAGAGAAGGTGCCGCTCAGGTCCAGGACTCTGTCCGAACCTTTAAATCCCTTTGAGGGAACACTCTAAATGAAGTTGGGAATTGTTCTCAGCCTCAGAAGGACAAGGAGTCACAGATGAGTGATAATAGCTCCAGCTTTGCCTGTCACCTCCACCTGTCACATCCCAGAGCAATTTGCAGAGTGAGTTACCTGTTCCCAGCACAGTGCAGCTGCCTCCCAGGTGTGCAAAAGAGCAGCTCATCATGGTCATGTAAATTTAGGACAGGAAATGGGGGAAGAACAGAGGAAAGAAGAACGGAGTTTGGAGTCTGGCCAAGGCACGGTCCTGCTGTGACCAGTGGGACTTAGGGATGCACATTTCTTGGGGATCTGCGGATCAGCTCATGGTTGCTCATGGTAGCTGCCCAGCCTGGTTTTAATGGGGAAGGCTTCTAAAGGGTGCACGCTCAGTGCTTTCTGGAAGTAAGGGCTCTTTCAGGTGGATGCTACGCAACAGAGGAAAATGAGTCCTTAGATACTTTTGAAAAAGCAGTTCACCACCACCAGCCCAGCATTGCAAAGAGCTTCTGAGAGGAGGACCTCGGCACCAGCACTGCTCCACAGAGTTGTATCTCCTGCAAGCATCACTGAGGAGCACAGCACGGCCAAACAGAGCCTGGGCTTAGTCAAGTCATCTCTTCTGAGCTCTGCCTTGGCTGTGCTCATCCAGTTCATAGTTCTTGGCTTTTGAAACCACATTTCATTTCTTCTGCTATCCAACATGACGGTTCTTTCCCCTCCTGCCTTTTTTTTACAAACTTGCTGGAGGCACCTGCTGTAGCACTTCTGTTTGGGGACAACCAGACCCATCTTGAGCCCTTGGGTGTCTGCTCTTAGCAGACCAAACGCCTCTGCTGTGTTGCGAGGCTGAGGGGAGTCTGGAATCATCCACCTTCTGCCCTTTGCTGCCACACCATGACTTTTCAGGGCAGTGGCTCTGTCCCTTGCACCATGTCACAGCAGAGGCCCAGCTGGCACCCCAGGGGCTGTCCCACTGAGCCACCTGCATTGCTCCCTTGTGAGAATCAGGGTGCAAGTGATGGGTGGAAAGAAAGAGAAGGTGAACCGCCTTGTTTCCTATCCTCCAGGTATTTTCCCCCACACTGAGGAGGGATTGGTCCCCCTGGGATGCTGGGAGAGGGCTGCAAATAGAAAAGGGAAAGGTGCAGGAGGGAGGATGGAGTATTAATAGTCAGCATCCCTGGGTCTCTGTGTAATCCCTGGCTGGCCTTACACGCTCAGCCTGGTGACCCTGGGCTCCTTGCAGAGCCAGATACAGAGATGATCCCCCTCTCTTGTGGTGGAGATCAAAGGCCAGGGTAAAATTACTCTACTCTGCTCCTTGCTTTCTGAGAGCTCCTTCTCCATCCAGAAAAGCAGACAGTTGCAGAGAGGTGTACACAGGAGCACTCCGGAGTGCAGGACTGTGCACAGGTAGCAAACATCAGGTCCCTCCAGGGAGGTGCTACCCTCCTGTTCTAGTCTGGAAACTGGTGAGATTTTCCTGCAAAGGGGAGAATGAGCAACGCCATCCCAGTGCAAAGCCCCTCATCATCATAAAGACATCTCAGTGCTAACCCCAATTCCTTCCCCACCATGATTTTCCCTCCCACATCCTCAGGTGGGATCAGTCCACATACAGATTCCCCACAGAACCACACCAGGAAACCCAGCGTCCCAAGTGCCAGGCTCACCCAGGGGACCTCAGGAATCAGAAGGCGGCAGCATCCTTACCGGGATCTGTAGAGTGAGGTGGGTTTCAGTCCCCCCTGGATGGGACTCTCAGGGCCTGCCTCCCCCGCTGAGAATGGCAGAAGCCCCTTGACCTTGTGTGGTCTCCAGTCAGTCTTGCCCGTCAACCCAGCGAGTGCCTTGCTCCCTCTCTGCTCCTCAGCCTCTCCCAGGACTGATCTCCCCATGGGGAGCTGGAAGGCTGTGGTCGGGAGGGGTTAGGGGAGGGCTGATTCCAGGAGCAGCGTCAGGCAAATTAAATCAGACACCAGAGACTTGGGGAAATCGGATTGGGACGTAATGCAAAGCAGGTGGATGGGGAGGGGTGAAAAGAGAGAGTAGCACGCTGCTCCTGAAGGGAAAGAAACCATCACAGGCGGATTGAATCCCTCTGTTTATATCAGCAACAAACTAATAAAGTGGAGATTAGCCAGAACAGGCTGGGATTATCAACCACAGGGGCAGGGCTTGCTGCACCTCACAGACCACAGGAATTCCCATTTTCCCAAGGACAGTGTGCCACTCGTGTCCTGGGCAGGGCAGGAAGAGGGATGGTGCCACCCATGGTGGCCCTGCCAAGGGAAAACCCATGGTAGGGCCAGGGTCACACCCTCTCTGGGCAGCAAACTGGGCTTTGCATGGGGAAACCAGAACTGGGCACAGGGGCCAGGGGTGGCAAAAGATTTGGTGGCGTGCCTTTTGGCAGCCACTTTAGTGGGATGCTGCGAGGGGATTATCTTGGCCTCAATCTCTTTTAATCTCTCCCGCGGCTTTGGCCCAAGCCCGAGATAAATACCTTTTAACGGATCTCATCTGACGTCAGGAGGCCATCAGTCTAATCACCCAAGCCACCTTTGGCCAAAGCAAGCCAGAGATGTGGACACTGGCCCCTCACCCCGCAACATGCCCTCATCAAGCAGGAACCATCCAGCATCCCCATGTAAGTCATCAGGATGGACGTGTGAGCGCTAGGATGTGAGGGAGTCTGAAATGCACACATCAAATTGCCTTTTTCCTGTGACCCTGGGGAGAATGGGAGGCCAAAAGGGTCACCAATGTAGGCTTCCCAAGCTTGTGTATTAAGGAAGTGCATGGATTCAGACTGAGGAAAGACTTCCCTTTCCACAGAAAGCGATGATGGGATCACCCACCCACCTCTTACACCACTGGCCCTGGCCCTACAGATTCCTTCCATCTGAACTGTAGCTGGAGGGGTCTCTGTGCACAACTTTCCTCCAGGCCTGGGTATGTCATGACTGCAGACTGATCTCTGGCTCTAATGCTTCCCAGGAAAAAGGTCACTGCTCTTTTTGATACTTCATAACCACCCCATTCAATTCCTGTCTGGTTACAATATAATCTCATCTCGGGACACTAATCCCCAGGGCAGTGACAGCAGATTGTCTTTGTATCAGGGTGGAAAATGATAAACAAAATTCTGCTTTCAGGGGCAATTTGGTGCATGGAGAAGGGGAAAAAAAAAGGCCTTGCTGCAAGGAAACATGGGTATACATCGCTTTTTCTTTAAGAGAAGCAGTCCCCACCCTTTCCAGGGGCTAGTCATGGCAGAGCTGACTTTCTCTCTTGCTCTCCTTTATCGGAAGTAGCTGGCATCTGGGCAAATACTTTGTTTGTTTTCTTTCACTGAGGGCTCAATCTCCTTCCATCATTTGTTAATTAAATTTCCATCAGCAATGAGCATGCATGTCTCCCTCCTGGTGTACAGACTCAAGCTACTCAAGCTCCCACCAACATCCGTGTCCAGCATTTTGCTTTTATTCCATATATTCACAGTCCCTCACCTTCCCTCTCTCAGAGCAGTTGCGAGGTTCTGGAGTGTGCAGGTATCTAGGAAATTCAGAGGCTTCTGTTTTGAGTTCCTGAATGTAAGACAGCCCTTGTTGAAAGACCCCAGGCTCCTCCTCCTCCTCTTGGATTTGGCCCTGGATGACCAAGCAGCTGCTACTGAGAGAAGCGGGGTGAAGAGAACCTGCCTTCTCACTTCTGAGTGACACAAACACTTTGGTGAGGCAGTGAAGAAAGCTCCTGGTGTCACTGACTTTAATACTCTGTCCCTGCTCCCATCTTTCAGCTGCTGGGGTGTCACAGAGAAGAAAGCTGCATCCCTCCCCATCACTAAGGCTCTAGCATGCTAATACACTGCTCCAGGCCTCGGTGGTCCTGGTGCCACCACGACCTGCCAGGCCATGGTGTGTGCCAGTCCTGTCTCCAGGGCCCTATGCGCTCAGAACTCATCTCTAACCCGCAGCTCCTTGGGGTGCTGTGTCCTGTCTGAGCCAGGCTTGTGTCTCCGGCTCATGGGCCTGGCTTCACTGCTGGGAATGGGAGGCTCTGAGGAGGATCTGCCGCTGTGATCAGCCCTATGATGTTCTTCTCCATCAGGCTGGTCCTGCTTCATGTCCCTCTGCTCCATCAGCTCCTCTGCCTTCACTCGCTCCTGCAGCCATGGAGACAGAAACCATGTGAACCCCTCCCTGCTAGGGTCTTTCTCCTGCTCACAGGGGCTGACGAGACCCATCTCATCGTTCCCACACCCATCCAACCCCCACCAGAGCCCATTCTCTCTTGCGAGACCCACCACAGGCTGGCCCCTCCACCAGGTACCTTGTCAGAGGACAACCCTCAGCTGAAGCACTAGGCCCTGCCCCATGGGAAAGCGCACAAGCCATTCCTCAGAGGGATTTGATCTAGCTTGGAGGTACTTGTACCCATTTCTCCAGCGTGGTGCTTTACCTGCTCAGCATGCTCCTGGGAGTGTGTGTACCAGAGAGCAATGGCACACCGCCTCCCACGGCTCACTGCCCACACGCCATGGGGGTTCTCCTTGCCAGAGCTGAAGGCTACCAGCCTCCCACACTTAGGATGCACCTCAGCCTGCCAGGCGAGAGAGAAGAGACAATGAAGACAGCAGCCCCCTGCTCCGGGGTACATGGGCCTTCTACAGAGGTCATGCTGCCTCGGGGGATGTGGAGCAGCAGAGAGCCACTAGGCATCTGCTGCCAGTCTACGAGCAAGATAGACCTTGGGGACTGACAGAGAGAATCAAAGGGACAACCTACGTCACAGACACCCACAGACTGGAAGAGCTGAGCCTGGAACTTCTCAGCTAGGATGGAGTTAACCTCTACGCTGTCTGGGATTTGCCTCAATTTGCCTTTAGTTGCCCCTATTTGAATCTGCCACAGCACCAGCACTGGATTGTTTTTGGAGTGGTGGGATCCAATAACCAACTAGTTTCCTCCCACCCAGACTAAGTCTCACTCTCCGTGCTCCCTCCTTCTTCTGGCCAGTCCTAGACTTACTGTGACAGTCACAGTGTCCATTTCGGTGAAGAAAAGGCCCCCACCTTGGAAGTCATCATTGAGGTAGAGAATGCCACTGTGAACAAAAAGAAGAGGGACATATGGATAGTGAAGCTCATTCCTGCGAGGTGCTTCTCCACCCTCTTTGTCACAGGAGGCTGTGACATTTGAACACATTTGAACCTGTGGTACCTGAATGATACCACAGGTTCAAAAAGCAAGCACACCAGTTAAAAGGAGAATCCATTTGGGGGTGTTAAATACAGCAGTGCCTGGTGCAGGGGAGTCCCTGAGCTGCACGCCACAGGAGGCCAGGAGAGTACTGCAGGGAGTGAGCTCTCTGAGCTTGTCCTGTTTGGTTTTGTTTTCCTTTATTTTTAAACCTTCTGCAGCATGCATCTGTGGTACTGTTGTGACAATGCCCTGCACTAGACGGACCTTGGTTCTGACCTGGCAAGACATATTTTATATTTTAAGATTGAGAATAATCCAAAGCATAGAAAAGGAGAGTGATCAGCAAAGAAAGCCACGTGTTAAGGGTCAAGGAACTGCAGGGTAACATCAGAATGGTCAAAAAGAGGTTTGGTGGATGCAGAAAATAAAACTAACCCAATAAATTTCTTTACTAATGTTAGACAAAAAGAGAAGTAATGAGGTCACTGTGCAGTGCAGGTGAGACCACTGTCAACTAGGTAAAAGAATGGACCACAAACTACTTGAGTTCCTCTTGATATTCAATTAAGCTGATATAAAATGTCAGGGGCTCATTAATGGGACTAGGAGAATGAAATTGAAATCAACACTGTGGCTGCTGAAGTAAAACATAAATGACATAAGGACAGTGAGATGGCCAACTCTGGAACCCAGGATGTTATAGCTCTTCTGCCATATGGCTTTAGTAACCCTGTGAAGTCAGAGTGGTAACATGACTGGAGAAAAGCAAGGATAGCTCTCACAGGCACGCGGGGGCAGGACGGTCAGGATAATGGTTGAAGTGTGAACAGGCCTGGTAGCCTGATCTCAGTAGTCTGCAGGGCTTTAGACTCCATTTCTGAGGAGAAGGATAATTGAAGGACAAGAGGTGAATGGAAAATTATCTTAAAAGGGGTACTAAAAGCAGATTGGGCCAGCTACACAGTCTTTGACAGAAGAGTTGATTTCCGAGGGAAAATCACTGTGCTCAATCTCAGCAGTTTGGACTCTGGCAGAAGTATGGAGAATGGTGCCACTAAAGAAATTACTGATCGTGGTGGTTTCACTTGGCTGGCACTTGGCTAGCAGCCAAACACAGCAGCTCACTCACTCCCCCTTCCCCCAGGTGATAGGGGAGAGAACTGGAGGGGTAAGGGTAAGGAGACTTGTAGGTTGAGATAAGAACAATTTAATAATTGAAATAAAATAAAACTTAAAATAATATTGATGTTAAAATAACAACAACAACAATAATAATATATGAAAATGTATGACACACAGTGCAACTGCTCACCACCCACTGACCAAGCCCAGCCCGTTCCCAGATAACGATCCCGGAGGAGCGACAATCCCAAACTGAAACTGCAATCCTGGAAGAGCGAGAGCCCGAGTGAAAGCCAGAGAAGCAAGAGAGGAAAAGACCCTCACTAATATATTGAACGTGACATTATATGATATGGAACATCCCATTGGCATATTCAAATGCCAATCTAGCTTATTAATTTAAATATTCCTCACCCCCTTAGATCTTGTGTTTGCAGACTAACAAAACACGAACTCCTTCACTGGTATGCCATCGGTGTTTCTCTCATAACAAATCCCAGGCTGAAACCAAAACACAGCGCTATTCTAGCTACTAAAAAGAAACCCAGCTCTGTCTCAGCTAAAAACCTGGACACTGATGAATGCAGAGAAAGTGAAGAAGACTGTGTGAACAGCACGCTGACTAGTGCTCCGCTGGCACTGTTCACCTGGAGGAGGAGGAGCACAGGGACTCCTGCACCCCTGGGCCAAATCCTGTTCAATAGTTTCATTAATGACCACAGCACAAACACACAGAAAAGATCCAGGAAGTCTGGAGCACAGGGACCTCTTTCAAAAGTACACTGGAAGAGCTCACCCCTTGTGAACTGTTTGGTCAATCACACTTCACCCTGCAAGAAGACAGGAATACTCCTAGAAATAGCTCAGTGGCATAGATCCCGGGAAGATATTTTAATATACATTCAAGCAGAAGTCAGAGAAGGTCCCTACCCAGGGAGGAGTGAGGTGACAGGACAGCTTTCCCACAGGAGGGACAGAGATTAACCAGTTACATGACAGAGCCTGGTAACTTTACAATCTGACTAAACCAAGTTAACATCTATATCAGAAGGGAAATTAACTCATTGCTACTGGAATTCCCTCTAAGTCCTACATTCTTACCATAGGCTGCTCAGAGATTTCTGCTCTGGATACAGCTACCACTCAAAGAAAAAGCAAATAAGGTTCCTGGATGCCCAGGCATGGGACATTAAAGCGGGGGAATCAGCTGTAGCAAACTGACCTAATTTGGCTCCATTGTGCAACAACTGTTACCATCTTTAAAATACATTTCAGGTTCTTGCAGAGAAGAGTAACAAAACCTACCACAGAGTGGAAAAAAACTCTCACATGGAATGGAGAAACTGAACACAAAGTATTGGCAGTGAATCTTGAGAGTGATGAAAGGAGAGAAACCAAACTACACTGACCGCTCAAACAAAGGAAATGCAAAGAGCCTGGTTCTCCCTTTCCTGTAGCGCATGGAAAACAGTGAAAGAAGGAAGATGATTAGAAGAAAGAGACTGTCATAAGGGCTGTCAGGAACTGTAGTACTGTGGTAGACCCACAAGACAGCAATATGATATCATGGTTATAGTTCATGCGGCCTCCCAGCCTCGTTCTGCTCTCTGTTAATGCTAGCTGTGAGGAGGCAGAAAGGGCAGATCTTCTTACCAGCCTAGGGAAGGTGTTTCTCACCATGTGCTGAAGCCACTGGTGCAGCCTTCTGCCTGATGCTACAGTCCTGGCTGGCTGTGAGCCAACAACCCATCACCTGGTTTCTATAAGCAGAGCTCATCCTCTGACAGGGCCAGGAAGACTTTCTGATCTCCACATGATCTAATGCAGTTCCCCTTCTTTCCTTACCTGTAGTCCCTGTACACGTAGGCAGGTGGTTCTCTCCAGCACTCTTGCCCCTCAGGATCCAAGAGACAATTATCAGCATGGACAGGATGACTAAGATCCATGCGACCTTCCTGTTCCTCTGAAAAGGGAAGTTACAAAAATGAATATGGGCATTTTCAGTTTCAAGAAAGAATAAGGCAGAGAGAAGGGGGCCCAGTGAATGGAAGACAGTCTCCTGAGAGCACGTGGCTGGTACTGAGAAGGAGACCCTCTAGGAGACAGGGACTAAGAGAGTGAAAGATTCTTTACCGTCTACAGCCGTGCGGCACACAAGGTGTGTGAATGAGAAATGGAGTTTCCTCCCAGGAGTAAAATAGGATTCTATGATTCTCCGTGATTTCTCACTGGCCCGCAGAAGCAATCTGGCATCTCTCCAGTCCACGTCCCCATTCTGGGCTAGCTACAAGTGAAAAACAAGCCTGTTAGAACACTTACATACAAAGACACTCTAAGAAACGATACACGTACACAGTACAGAAGAGGCCTGTGTAAAGTCCTGTGGTCACACATGTAAGAAAAGAACATATTTTCCCAGGTAAAGGTAAGTCAGGAGTACAGCTGTACATTAGAGCAATTCTTTCCTTCTACTCAGCACCTGAAGCTACATCCGGAATGCAGCATCATTTGGGATGCCCTAGTACACAAGGGACACCGGCAAACTGGAGTGAGTGAGTCTTCAGTGATGGATCTGAAGATGGCAGGGGTGCTGGAGCACATGACTCAGGAAAAGAGGCTGAAGGAGCTGGGTTTCTTCAGCCAAGAGAATAGAAGAGAAGGCTGAAGGAGGATCTAACTACAGTCTCCTGTCACCTAAAAGGGGATTACAGAGAAGATGGAGCCAGTCTCTTCGCAGAGGGACACACTGGAGAAACAAGAGGCAAGAGACGAAAGCTGCAGCAAGGGAAATTTTGGCTAGGTATAAAGAAAACTTCTTCTTCTCCCTGGCAGTGGTACAGCACTGAAACAGCTACCCAGAGAGGCTAGGGAATCTCCACCCTCGGAGGTGTTCAGGCCTGTGCAAAGCCTTGAGGGATGTCATCTAGCTTTGGAGTTACCATGCTGTGAGCAGCAGGAGGGACTAGAGATCTCAGAGGCTCCTTCCACCTTAATTTATTCTCCAATTCTAAGCTAAGCATGTCTGTAAGACTAGCACACAGGCACAACAGCAATCCCAAAACCCTGTCTCACAGGAGAGAAAGCACTTGTCAAGCCCTCAATGTACAACGTGCCCAGACATGATTGTGGAGGAAGAGGGTCAGAGGAGATCACACATGTGCTTGTGAAGAAGAGAACACACACATGACCCCATCCAGAGTGCACTTCAGAGAGAAAAACACTCAGGTGGCAAACACTCTTTATGGACAATCAAGAAGGTGACAGATACACAGAGCCACTTACCTGCACGGCCTTCAAAACGGTTAACCCTTCAAATCTCTCATGTGGGGTGTGAGGCGACCGTCTTGCCCGGTAGCCATCTCCTGCTTCTCCTGCTGCCTGGAAGAGAAGGATTCAGATGACACACACTAGGCTGCCATTTCTCCTCCATGGAAACACAACTCTGCCTGCTGAGGTGGAAAGTACACATCCAGGAGCTCCTACAAGACCCAGGCCTCACCTTTGTCAGCTGGAGAAGGTCCTTGCACTCAGACTCTGTCAGCACTCTGTCGAACACAACCCTCTGGGTTCCATTCATCTGGCGGGAGTCCATCGTGACAGCAATACCCTCAAAAGGCAAAGGACCTGTTGGAGAAGCAAGTACAGATAGGCATGAGCAAGCTTTGGACAAGAATCGCTCAGACACCAACCCCCAGCCTGGATGAGGAAGTGTAGAGACACTACACATTCACTGAGAAGACAGGACAGTTCCCCAGAAGTGCCCAATCCTCGCAGACCTGGGCCACTTGCATCCCTCACATGCTTCAGGGGAACCAGAGCATCAGCTGGGGAAGCTGGCCTACAGCGAGTGCTTCAGGAGCCAGCAGAGACTTGGGGCTTGCTGGGAGAGCAGCAGGGAGCTGGGGAAAGGTGAGTGCACTGTGGATCACAGCAGAACAGGTCCAGCCTACTGGGGTGAGGCTCTGGAGAAAAGAAGCAGGTAAGCACCTCCATGAACCCTCCTTTGAATCACACATCTTATCCCAGAACTACCTCTAGTGAATCTTTCTACTTTCTCCAACCCGCAAAGAGAAGTAACGGGTATTAGTTGGTGATCTGATCTTTTGATCTTTGGCCTTTTTCCCTTCCTCTGACCTTTGGATGGCCAGGAATGCTCAGGCACTCAGGGTCTCAAAATTATCTACTCTCCCACATATCACAGCAGAGAATCACTTGGGGTCACTTCAGGCAAAGACTCCAGGACAGAGCCCTGCAAAAGGCTGTGTGTCCATGCATAAAAATAGAGGATCAGACAAACACAGAGCTCCACACTGCAGTCTACAGCATTCAGCCACAAACCATTCCGACTTGTTTTTCAGGGAAAGACTTGCCCAAGCCAAATCGTCTGTTTCAGTTTCCATTTTCCCCCCTCTCTCTTTGTCCCCTTCAGAAAAATGTTGTTTGAAGTTGGGCTGGTGGAGTTGAAAACCAGGTTTGGTGTAGACACTCCTGCCACACTGAACAGGGAGCTGCATGTCCACAGGCTTGTCACGTATTCAGGCACCACTGCTCTCAGCTTCTCCAGCCACAGTGCTCTTTGAGTTCCCATCCCAGAGATGTACGCAGCGAGATTTTGCAAGATTACACATGCATCAAAGAGGGAGAAAAGAAACAGTGAGAAGACTTGCTGAGCCATTCAAGTCAGACTGCAACTATGCTAGCATTCAAATGTCTGAGGATGGAAGAAAGGACAGCACTTAGCCCGGCTAATCCTGGCTGACTGCATCCAAGTTCTTTAAGCTCTTTTACTCACCCCTCTTCTCCCTCTCTTCCACATCCAGAGTTTCCTGCTTTTGCTTCTCCTGATCCTCTCTCGGGAGCAAGGGAAAAAACAGAGACCAGGGCTGTCAGTACACAGAGCTATGCCTAACCCTCCTCTGTGGTAGCATTTCATACCCTTCCTGTTCCTGTTTTGCCCACTCCTCAGTAGGTATTACTGTTCCTTGTAACACCCCCACCAGTCAAACCCCATCCTCTACTTCCAGCATTTACATTTCAGTCCTAGTCAACTTGGTCAACCTTACCTGTGTTTCTCCCTTAGGGTTTCAGGAATCAGCTCATCTGGAGTCCAAAGATCCTGTAAGAACAAATGCAGACAGTTCAGTACACAACAAACTTCTCCCACATTGGATCATGTCAAATGGCTGGTCGCTTATCCTACTTCTCCAGTGAATATCAGACCAACAGTTCTGGCACGCTTCTGATGACAGCCAGATTGGGCTAATGCATATGGTTACAGCAGCAATTTCAAACTAACTTCAGTCCTGGAGCAGTGGAAAGGCCTTAAAGATCCACCTCATAAGGACTTGGGGGTTCTTCTCATCAGCATTTGATCCTTTCTGGATCATGTGCTACTAAAGTGATTCTGGTAACTGCCTTGGTGAAATCAGAGCAGGAAGATTAACATGATACAGTTACTTACAGGGTCGTTAAAAGTTCCTCCTAGATGCTCCACTGCATAATAAATCAGCTTCTTCTCCATCAAAGATCTCCGCACATACTGTTGAATACTCTGAGGAAGGAAAGAGGCTGTCAAACAACCACCCCACAAAAGACATCCCCATCCCTGTCCAGGGCAGAAACCTGCCCCAACACATTGCTGTACACTATGAAAGCCTGGTTCTGTCCTGAAGGGACCCCGCCTGGCACATAGTATAAGCAAACTCAGGCTCCAGTTTCTTTAGTCCTGGGCTTGGCACACATCTGCAGTGAAACCTATTTCCCTTTTTGTCTCCTGGGCTGTGATCCTGTTGTATGGGACAGGGGAGGGACAAAAAATACAGACCTGGGGTTGTAACTACCTCTCTGGCTGTGACAGTTGCGTCCTCTCCCAGCTCTGTGCGATACTGTTTCATTTTCTCCAACATTGGCTCATCCATGGGATAGAAGAGCAAGTAGGAAGCAGCACATTCAGCAGCCAGTGCCTGGTTCCCAACTTGGGGGGGGACAGAACAGAACAAACAGGTAAGTCACTGAAAGACTTGACGTTAGCAGCAAATGCGTACAGGCCAGCAGCACCCAACGTCCCGGTCAGGATGCGGCAGCAGGAGGCCTTACACTGAGCACACATCAGTCCCTGCCTAGTTGGGCCTCTACCCAGTGATGGGCAGACAATACAGGCCTGGTGAAGAATGAGCCCCCTTTCAATATTTATTGGGAGCTCATCCAGAAGAGACAGAGAAAAAATAATTACATATTTCAAAGAAAGACAGTCCCACCTCCCTCACCCAATAGACATGATGTGGAGTCTGGGGTCTGGAGGCTTCTTTGAGATACAGGTTTTATGAATGATCTGACAGAGGAGATCATCCTCTGATGGGGCTGTTCAGCCTGGAGAAGAGAAGGCTCTGGGGGGACCTTCTAGCAGCCTTCCAGTACCTGACAGGTGCCTATAAGAAAGCTGAGGAAGAACTGTTCACAAGGCATGTAGCAATAGGACGAGGGGTAATGGTTTTAAACCAGAAAAGGGTAGATTTAGGTTGGATATTAGGAAAAAGTTCTTTAATAGGAGGGTGGCAGATCACTGGAACAGGTTGCCCAGAGAGGTAGTGGAGGCCCCATCCCTGGATTCAAAGTCAAGGTTAATGGGGCTCTGAGCAACCTGCTCTAGCAAAGATGTCCCTGCTCACTGCCCTTCCAACCGAATACATTCTATGATTCTATGACTTGAAACGGAAAGTGCCGGAGGAAAGAAGTGGGGACAGCCACACATTACAGAAGCTGCATAAGGAGACTGAAGCAGACCACAGGAGACCTCTCCCAAGGTTGCCAAAGGCTTGGGCT